CCAGCAGTCTATTGTGGGGGTATCTTTGTGGATTTCTGTGGGCCTCTCTAGCACTTTGTTTCTTCCTTTTCTCATGTGGTCTTCATTTACTATGGTCTCCTATTCCTTGTTCTCCCTCTCTGTTCTTGATCCAGGTGGGATCTCCCACTCCCACAGGCTCTCTTTCCCTGGACCCTCGCCCTTCATTACTCCCACTCATGTCCAGGTTGTTCATGTAGATCTCAGCCATTTCTCCATCACTTGGTAATCCCTGTGTCTTTCTCGGGGTCCTGTTTTCCAGGTAGCCTCCCTGGTGATGTGAGTAGCAGTCCAGTCATCCTTGTTCCACCTCTAGTTGTTTGTTTAATACTAGTCTTAGCAATGACAGATCTAGATATCAGTGAGCTCTTCCTCACCATATTCATAAAACTGGTCTAACAAACTACGTGTTGCTTCTGATTACTCTATTGTCCAAGAGTCACTTAGGACAGTCTTAATATTTTATGTGACATCATACTGCAGTATTTCTTACCAAGGCTGATTTAAGGCATGAGAATTCTTTGTGAAGAATTACCTGGCTCAGAGCTATGGGATTCTAGGTCATTAAACATTCAATGTCACATGATATTCACAAGTCGTTGCATTATCAACACTGTTCACAGATTTTCAGGGGTCTAGAGAACAGGGCCAGCATTGCCTATAAAAGCTTATGGACTGTAGCTCTTATAAGCTAGTCCTAGCACTGATAAAACAGCACCTCTTCCAATGTCAGCAATTAAGTGGCATAGAACCTATGTGCCTAGACCTAGCCAGTGTCTCCATGAGCTGACTGAATTGCTAGATTCAAGTGATCTTCTGAGAGAAGTGATGGAAAGAGCAGGAAGCTAAGGATTTTTCTCAATATCTTAACCAATAGTGAAAGAGAGATAGATAGATGATAGATAGATAGATAGATAGATAGATAGATAGATAGATAGATAGATAGGAAAACAGATAAAATTATATATAAATTCTTGTTAGCAATAGAAATCAAACATAAACAGTCTGTTTTTGTACTTTTTTACTCTGTCTACTGACAGAAAATAAAGATGTACAGCCTAATAGCCATGAAGCTCAGTCCTAAGTCTGAGGATTTCATTTGACATCTGCAATGCTATTGCTGTCAAAGTGGCCAAGGTGGTCGGAAATCAAAACCCAGTAACTAGGCATCTCTGGCTTGCACTAAGAAATGTTCTTCTCCCTACGACACTGGAGATCAAAACCCAGTAACTAGGCATCTCTGGCTTGCACTAACAAACGTTCTCCCTACTATACTAGACATCAAAACCCAGTAACTAGGCATCTCTGGCTTGTACTAACAAACATTCTCCCTACAACACTGGAGCTATCTCAAGCCTAAAACCTTGGGCCCCAGGCATGCCAGTTCTATGGAATATATGACTTTCTCTATAGGACTGAACTTGACCTTAAAAACCAACTCCTCCGTAAAAAGCATGAATATTGGTCATAATTCCTACCAGTCCCATTGCTGGTGACTGAAGTTTTTCTCCTATATCCCTGAAATCCTTGAGCATTGGCTAAAATCTGTACATGAATAGTTTCCCAAAGAGATTGTGGCTCTGGGCTTTTGTGCATGGCTATCATCTGCATTTACAGCTTTGTCCCTACAACAATGTTGAAGTGGTTAGCTCTTGACCCTAAGGGAATTTTTAAATACTGTAAGTTCTACTACTGAGTGACCATATAGACACGACTTTCTTCACTTAATCACCCCTAGCCAGGTGTTCCAAATAAACAGGCCTTTTCTTTATCTTCCTTACTTCTCCGGGAAAGTTGGAAAAGAAGAACACACACACACACACACACACACACACACACACACACACACACACACACACACACAAATTCCTGTCTGAAAAGAATAGTTATATTGAAGAAGACTAAAGGAAAGTTCCACCCCACCTTAAGGACCCTACTCAGATATCAGACAATCAAACAAGTGAGAAGAAACCGATCAGGATGCACACCAGTCACCTTGGCCAGAACACTGACAGGAGCAGGAAGAGCCACATATTCATTCAAGAAACCAAGACATGCCAATGAAGCTGAGGGAGGAGAATCGGTTCAGAGCCTAGTATACCTGGGTCACTTACAAAAAAAAAGCAAATTTATAAAGAAATGCTAGGATGAAGACGTAAAAACAACATTGAAACCCACAGCAAAAAGGGAGTCAGAGGCAAGATTTATAAGTATGGAGATGGAGAAGCCTATCTGTAGGGGAAAAGCATACACACAGAAAAATGTCTTAATTGATTAAAGATAAAGACTGAAAACTACTTAAAAGAGATATACACAGGAAAAGGAACTAATTCAGAGAAAATAAAACCTTCTTAGAGGAATTTCCCGGTTGAAAGTCCATGGACCCTTGGATTCTGGCAGCTTTAGATTTGAAATCATTACTATGTTATCAATAACTAGGCCCTCTGAATGTGGGTGACAGTTGTGTGACTTGGACAGTATGTGGGGACCCTGGCAGTGGGACCAGGATTTATCCCTAGCACATGAACTGGCTTTTTGGAGCCCATTCCATATGGAGGGACACCTTGCTCAGCCTCAATACATCAGGGAGGGGCTTGGTCCTGCCTCAACTTGATATGCCAGACTTTTTTGACTCCTCATGGGAGGCCTCACCCTCTCTGAGGTGAAGATGGGGGTGGGGGTGGGGGAAGGTGGGAGGGAATTGGGAGGAGGGGAGGGAGGGGAAACTGTGGTTGATATGTAAAATGAAAAAAAAAACTTTAAATATAAAAATAACTGTGGACAAGTAACTTGCATTCTTCAAGTCTTAGGTCTTAAGAATAACAATACTGACATCACACTTGGAGATGAAACATCAAGAGGAAGAAAATTGTGTGTGTGAGGTCATCAGGACACAAATGACAGCAAGAAAACGGGTCACAAGTGTATGCCCAGTACTACTTCTGGGAACTTCTAGAACTCTGCGTATGGTTTCCCTTTCCAGGTAATCCTGACTTCACTCAAAATCACAAAGTGCCTTTTACCTCCACTTGACTGTCCCAGTCTAGATCAGGGTCCACAACAATATCAGGGTAATCAGGCCAGACCTGTGGGCAGAAAAAACATCAACAGAAATGCCTCAAACAATTTGCCCTACACAGAATTTCCTGCAAAACTATAATCCAGAGTCGTATGACTTCAATTTTCATGTAGGACTCTTCTACCGAAAAGTGAATTCCCTGAAGCTCTTAACTGTTGTCAATAAACAAATAAATACTGGCTGCAAAATGAAAACTAAAAGCCCAAAGACCAACTGGAATAGGTGAAAACCACACCCTCAAACACACTAACAGGGTGCCTGGCCCAGAGTAAGTCTTGCTGGATCAACACGAAGCTCATACCTTTCCCCAGACAATGTCTCCATTATTGGGATATCTGATGAAGACATTGTTCTCCAAACCCCGGGTGAAGGCAGGATAGGGCTGTGTCTCATTGCCAGAAATGGCTGGGTCCTGCAATCAGAGCACAAGGCAGGTGAAAGTTAAGACTGAGGATTTCAAAGAAGGTGGGTGGGAAAAGGGAAGTCCCCAGTTGTAATTTCACTGTAGAGTTCCCTGACTCCCAGAAATACATTTATATTAATTACACTTTTATTTCTCTCCTAAAACAGGGGAGGTCAGACATTCTAAGGTGATCCCCATCAAGCCCATCCATTGTCCCAAGCACAGCCTACACAGTCACACAAACTAACCAGGATAAGGATGACCCGCATCCCATTGCCCTTCATGCGATTGATCAGGTCTGGAAACCCAGAGAACTTGGGGCTGAGGGTGAAGTCCAGCTGCCTCTCCATGTAGTCGATGTCTGAGTACTGCACGTCCTGTGGATGGTATAAGAAAGTGTGGCTGCTGGTTGGAAAGTTCAGACTCTAGCAGTTGCCACAGCTTGTGTCTGGCAATTTCAACTGCTAGGTATGCCATATTGTAGCTTTGGATATTTGGGTTCACTAATTTTTAAATATTTCACTCAAAAACAGGAAAAATGATTTCAACATCAACAAAAAATGTATGATGAGTAACAATGCCAACCTACAAAGGCTGTTGTAAAAAAAATAAATAAAAATACTGTAAGAAAAAGTACTTTGACTTTCTCTATGAGTGTGTCCTGAGATCAGTGATGTGTGTTCATTGAAAATAGTGTCAAATATTCACTGTGCATATAATACAATCATAGGTCTACTATAAAAGAACCAAAACAAAAACTGTCCTCACTGTGGAGGACCCAGTGTTGGAGATGATCAAATGCAGAGCTCTCACTGAGATGTTGTATTCCAACAGTGGTTCTCAACCTTCCTGATGCTGAGAAACTTTAGTACAGTTCCTCATGATGTGGTAAGCCCCATTCATAAAATTATTTTTGCTGCTACTTCATAACTGTAATTTTGTTACTCTCATTTATAATGTAAATATCTGTGTTTTCCAATGGTCTTAGGTGATCCCTTGAAAGGGCTGTTGGACTAACCCCAAAAAGTCACAACCCACAAGTTGAGAACCGCTGTCAGAGGAAGTGATTTGATTCGCACTAAGGCAACCCAGAACAATGTATACAAGACAAAACCAAATGGTCACAAAATGATTTATGATTTTTGGACCTCTGGTTTTGAAGTGAATGTGCTGATTCTGTATGTGATCCACTACAAACTCAATACAGGAGTCCAGCATGGAGCCAGTGAGAAGCTCAGCAAACACTGGTGTGCCAGGCCCAAGAAAGCAATCCTCATATGGGCCGGGTTCACTGAATGAGGGTTGTTTCTTTAATTAAGCAAATCTAGTATTGGAGTTGTGTTTTATATCATGTCAGTAAGGGCAGTGTATATGTCTTGAAGTCATTCAAGAAGCAGAAGAAAGCCTGGTACAGGAGAGAGTATCCAGGAATTAACCAGTCTTAGCTCCTCTTTGTTAATCTAAGCCACCACTGTTATGAGGGTAATGGTTTCCCCAGAATCACTGTGGATAGTCTAGGCTCAGTGTGACATGACATGAGAAAACACAGTGTGTCTTTATAAACCACACTTAAATCTGACAAACAAATCCCCAACAGATATACGTACATAGGGGATCTTCTTAGCCACCATATCATCATACAAGCTGGAGATCTCAGAATCATTCTCATATCCATAGCGACACAGCTGGAATCCCAGGGACCAGTAAGGTACCATCACAGGCCGACCAATCAACTGGAAAACAGACAGTAAGTGTTAGAATGTTAGAGGAGAAGTTGGATGGAAACTGGATATGAAGTCAGAATATTTTACCCAATTTGACACCAAATTCAAACCTAGAGAGGAAGTGGAGGAATGTGTAGAGCTCCTGGGACACACTAGAGAAAACCTACAGCTTCTCAGAGCACACTTTCCAGTAGTTCTGGAAAACCTGCTTTAATTCAGATTCCTAGATATATAATTTATATACTAAAAACACACAACAAAAAGGGAAATGACTAACTTAGAACACCGTGTCTAGGTCTTGCTGATTGTGTGACTTTGGGCAGCTATGTGACATTTCTGTGCTTGTTTTTTTTGTTTTGTTTTGTTTGTTTTTTACCGGTAAATCAAAGCTAAGAGTAGGAGCAATCCCATGTTGGTTTCACTGAGTAACACCCTCTCACATGCATTCAATAACACATGCAGTAGATATTTCATACATGTTTGTTGATGTTGTCACCAACAATGTTATAACTCCCAGTGACCGTGACTCCCACTACCACCACAAGTATAGTCATTGTCTCTGTCACCACACTGTAACTAGCATGACAATTTGATGATGTAACATTTTCCATCATAATGACTCCCATTGCCATCACAGACACAATCATCACTACCAACCCCACTCCTACTAAAACATCACCATATCTACCACCACCATCACTATCATGACCTCACTCTCTCAGCATCCAACATCAACTCCACTACAATCACTTTCATGATCACCTCATGTTCTGACTTCCTCTCTACCATTATCACCATAACGGTCAACATCCTCACAATCACTTTCACCAATAGCACTACCACTACGTTCAATATCACCATCCCTCACCACACCATCAAAATTACTACTACCATAGCTCCACCACCACATTAGCCCCACCACTCGTTACCACAAATACTTTGCTATACTTCAATAGGTGAAGAAAAGATCATTTTAATAGTTGAAGGAATATACCCACTCTCCCATATTCCATACTATACCTTCTCCTGAGAAAGACCATCAAATTTAGTTACCATATGATAGTTACATTATATGCAATCCTGTATAGCAGGGTTGGAACACATTATGAGTGTATGTACACACATGTATATACAACACACATATTTCAAAAATGCTTTCCTTCCTACCTCTGTGTATTGCTGAGTGACAAGCTCTGGAGTTGGGCCCAAGAACACAAAGAAGTCCAGAATGCCCCCTGTGGTCCTGTATGTTAGGGCAGGCAGGGGCTGGAATGTCACATCTGGAAACACACAAAAAAAATGTCACCATGATGAAATCCTTCCTGTTGAGAATATTAACCTGGAATCCCCACCTTCTCTCTATTCAGTTGTAACACACTGACAGCAGATATTTTTGAGTAGGTGCATATAGAATTGTACAACTTAAATGAAAGCTCTCGAGTTCTGAAAGCAGAACTCATTTGTGCAATGAACATAAGGAAAGACTACTGTATAGCTTTTTTATTTTTATTTTGTTTGTTTTTTTTCTTTGAAATGAAGAAAAGCATTGCTTAAGGGTTGCATACTTTTATTGGAGTAAATCAGAATGATCCTACTCCATTGGAGTTAAACTAGTGCTTACTGGTTTCCATTTGTATTTAGCTTCTGGTTGGAATTTGGAAAAAAAAAATGAAACCTAAATAAAATAGGTGAAAGCTTCTTGCCTAAAAAAAAATGAAAGCTCTCACTAGCTGCATTGTAAATAAAAGCTGGGTAAATTATATATAATTAAAATATATATAAAGGGTCAATGAAAGGGAAAACCAATCCACAAAGATTATAATTTCATCTATAGTGACCGCTAAGTCAAATATATTCTAAAGAAATTCAAGAATCATTGGAATACAATAAGAGGACAGAGGTTCATCCTACCCATGGCATTGCTGTTCATCAGGAGGACTCCATGGGCATTGCCATCCTCCTCTAGACCCATGTAGTAAGGGTGGACACCATAGGAATTCTTCTTGTACTGAGAGGCATAGGGAAAAGGAGGGAGGTTAGGAGACTGTGTGCATGGGAAAGAAACTTGATTGCTACGTTGAGTCAATCTTCTTCTGGTAAGAACAGCAGAGGAAAGAGGAACTTAAAAAGATCTCCATCCTCCTAGCCATAGAAGGTGATAAGCATGTGGAGTCTGGAAAAAAACATCACAAAGCACCCAGCATGGATGGAAGAGACAGAACACAGACACCAACGCCCTGTCCTTACCCCCGGGGGCTCATCCCTGGAAAACATGCCCCACGTGTGCCAGTTCAAGTCTATCTTGAAGGTTGTGTGCTCAGTCTCCCCAAAGCCATAGATATATGTGGAGGGCAGGCGGGTGGAGATGCGGATGAACATGTCATTGAAGGTGAAGCCCAGGAGCTGAGAGTCCCAGCTGCAGATGGAGAAGGGACATTTGCAAAAGGAAATTAGCTCCCTGGTGGCTTCTAGCAGCTGTCTTCCTAAGGATAACAGAGCTCTGGATTCTCCTCATACCACCAGAGCTAGGTCATCCTCCAGCAAAACACAAATCTATCTGCATAAAGCAATCACCCATGCCCCCATTAATGGCCCAGCAGTCATCCTTCACCCATCTTCCTCCACCAGTACCTTCTTCAGTGCTCTCTCTATAAGGCGAAACCCAAGCTGTTCTTATCACCTCAACTGCTATCATTCACACCTGCCCTGTCATTCCTGCTCCTTGAGGGCCCTCCTGCAGGCATCCAGGACTGTGAGTGAAGAGACCCCACATCACTTCACAGCTCTGCTCATACTCTTCAGTGACTTCTCACCAAGCCTTCCATGTTGCCCCTCTTCCATAACCCACCTCGCACCCCTGCTTTATCACCCACTTTAATCTTTCAATGATTTCACCCAATTACGTTTCTTGACATGCCAACTTTCTTGGCTGTGCTTTATGCTCTCTGTCTTCCCTCTATCAAAGATGTTCCTTCCCCCACCCGGAACTCCAAGTTAAGTGCTTCCTCATCCAGCTTCTATTTCAAATGACACTTCCCCCTCAGAAAGAAATATTCAGACCACAGTATCAGAAGCAGTGACCTTCCTATAACTTGGTCAAGCACATTTTCCTATACAACATGCTTACACCCATACTAGATTCCTGTGTATATTATCTGCACAATAACACCTAAGAGCCAGAAGGAAGTCATGAAATATTTGTTGGATATATTCCCTCTGCAACTGCCTTAGTAATCACCCTGAGGATACTGAAGGCTTCCCCTAAGAATAGACCAAGAAGAAATTGCTTCCTCGTGGTTCTGGTCATGGGTATTGTGATACTAAGACAGGCTGTCTGCAATGACAATGAGCCTTGTAAGGACTGTTTAGGAAAGCAGGGACGCCAAGTCAGACCAGGACCCACTCACATTACAGTGCCTGTACTCTTCCTGCGAATTTCAACCCCAAATGGATTCTGCTTGATGAGGACATCATAGAGACGGTCGTCACGGGTACTGATTGGATCATCAGGGATGTTCAGAGGTACTGGGACTTCATACCGACTGTGGTTGGGATCATAGATCTAAGCCAGAGGAAATGGATTTAAAGATACAGGTAAGAGAATAACTTCTGTAGTACTGTTCTACAAGGGTCTTATTTCTCTCTGCATTTGGTTAAAATACAGTGTATTTTACTGTGGAAATTTAAACACAAAACTTTTTTTCTTTTTGTTTTTTTGAGACAGGGTTTCTTTATGTAACAGCCTTGGCTGTCCTGGAACTCACTCTGTAGACCAGGCTGGCCTCAAACTCAGAGATCCACCTGCCTCTACCTCCCAAGTACTCACAAAACTTCTTTTAAGGTTCTGCAGCTTTGACTAGCAAAGAGCAACAGAATTAGAAAGGCCCTGTCTACACCAGATCACACACTGTGTTTACCTTGAACTGCAGCATTTCATTCTTGTGGTAGATGACTCGGAGCTGCAGCTGATTCACAGGTGTAGAGGGGAAGGCATTGCTATAAGGAGAAGGCTTCAAGGAGATGTTGGCTGTGGCCACATTTGAGTAATACTCAACATTGCTGACTGAGTACAACTCATTGACAAAGTAGCAATAAGGGACCCCAGAAGAGCTGGATTCCTGAAAAGAAAGTCAATATCCTTGATCAGCAGGGATCTGGAGTTACCAAATAGAAAGAGTTAGAAAAGGCAATTTACATGAAGAACGTGTGTGTGTGTGTGTGTGTGTGTGTGTGTGTGTGTGTGTGCAAGCGCACATGTGTGTGTGATTTTATATATAACATATTTTAATAGTTGGTCTTCAAGAAATATACTTAGTAAAATATCCCAGTCCTACCCCCCGTTATGCTCAAGACTTCCCCAGATTCCTGAAGAGGTCCTTTCTCCCTCGGTATTTCAGTGTATGCAAAAGTATACCGACGTGCTGTGCTCATGAAACGTTTATAAGATATTCATACACATGAACACTTTCAGCTTTCAGATTACCTCCCAGATGCAGCCTCGGGCAGTGCAGCTTGCTTCGGAAGCTGCATCCTGGTCTGGATAGCAGTCTATCTTTTCCTCGTCCCTTATGCTGTCATCCCACTCCACCGTATAGGATTCTTTCAGGAGAAGCTGGATACCCATAATAATTGCAACCTGTAGGGGCAGACAAGGCACAAGAGATCCTTCATTAGGAACAAAGTCCTTATGCAATCTGAAAATGCCTTTAGAAAATTAAGCAGAAATGAGAACAGAGTGGCAACAATGCAAGGCCTATGACTGGCTTGCAGGAAGACTTGTGTGTTAGTCCGTGGGACTACCAGCAGTGACAGGGAAATGTCAGTGCTCTTACTCCACTAGAATCTTCCTCATCATATTGGGTAAGAATTGGGAGAAAGTACAGTTGCTGTGACCGTTCCTTTTCACTCCTTCCCTGACTTATCTGTCCCTTTTATTTGGTTACAGAAACTCTTTTCTTCTCTTCCAGAATTTAGCTTCTCTTCTTGTGCTTTACTCCCCAAAGCAATGTCCCTGCCAGTGAGGGGTGCATGGAGAAGATACAAATGTCAATCACAGGCCCAGGTTCCTGTAATGGTTAGGGTCGTCAACTTCACATACACTGGAATCACCTGGAACATGGGTCTCTGGGCTTGGGTGTGGGAAATTATCTTTGTTGCATTGATTAAAGGAGTATCTGCCCACTTGGAGTGGTATTATTTCCCAGCTGGGATCATGGACTGAACAGCAGTATTCATTCATTGCTTTCTGCTTCATGTTTGTGGAGATGATGCAACCAGTTGCTTAGCTCCCAACACCTTGATTTTCCCACCATGATGGACCATTCCTTTAAACCACGAGCCAGGATAAGCGTTTCCTCTACGAGTTGCTCTTGTCAGGGCATTTTATCAAAGCTACAAGAAAAGAAACTCAGGGGGCTCCCATCCCCATATTTCTATGAGATCTTAGACAAACTAAATGAATTTATTGACTCTCAATTTAATCAATTGGAAACCTGGTGAGTTGGGACAAAAATTATCACATTTCTTTCCATACCTAACACTTATCCAAGCCCATCTGCTTAAATCTTGAAACATTCTGATATCCTACTCATCAAATTAAATATTCAACATGTTCTCTATTTTTTAATATTTGACTCTTCAACACTTTCACTTTTCTTAGGTGACATTTTAAGAACTGTCATGTTTCTCTCAATTTCCTCTCTATCTGATACTTTCCCCGTACTACCAATTCCAACCCTCCACCACCATCTCTAACAAGGCCTTGGTTCAAGGACCATTGTAAGACTCTTTGACAATTAAGTCATGCATGACCTTTGCAATTTATGACCTAAGACTCTCCAAAATCTAACTATATGTTTCCACCAGAATAAACTGATCTCCACTTAGAACTAGATGTCCCCAACGCTACATACACAGGATTGTCAGGGTGACAACATGAGGCTATTCTCAGTTCTTGGATTGGCTGATTCTGATATCTCAGCTTGAATTGCTCTACTTTCCTTTTATGGCAAAGTGGGGCCCACTGTGGAGCATACTTCCCGTTGTCTTATCAGTAAACTACATGTCCTTCTGTAGTATTTCATTTTTGAAGAGCAAAGCTCTCAGGTGAGGACTACATTATAGTCTATGAATTATAGCTCTAGCTTTGGAAAGTTAGCATCAAGTTCACCAATAGCAGCTGGGTTAGTGTTTCTTTCTCCACTCAAGGATTTCCTCCTTCATCTTTACCTCTGCCAACCTCTACTGTCTATCTTTTCTTCTCACTTATTCTGTTTTTCCCTTTTTATTTCTCCAAGAATGGGGCATTGTGATAGAACCAAGAAACCGCTTGCGATCATGAGAGAAGAAAGGACCTCAGTTCCTACAGCCTTCAACTGCTAAGTGCATGCCAGCAACTCTCCATCATCTAATTTCAACAGAATGACAAAATGGTCAGATTTTTTAATCTTTTGGAGATGTCTCATTATATTCAACTAATGAATCTCACCTGACACATCATCTTTATAGGTCCATCTCCCATCCTAAACAGTAAGCTGTGCTCAGCAATTTTACTAAGCTCTGGACACCATCAACTATAAAAACCAACAACACACCACTTTATTTCATGGTGTCTGCATCCTGAATATGTGCTCACCCTGAAAATTTTATTCAAGACAAAACTTCACATATGATAATATACCATTACAACAGAGGTATAAACTGCTTATTTTCCCAAAACTTGATGGTTCCATCACACATGCCAATCCAGATGTTGCACAACATGGGCTCAAGGTTACTTGTGGAGGATTTCTCCTTATATCAGGAGGAACACAACACAATTCTGTCTAGTAGATAAGGTGTATTAGCTTCCAGTAAAGAATTATATGTTATCATCCAACCTAATAAATAACCATTTGGATAAGATCTTCAAATTTTTTTTAAATATGCCATGAAAATGTGTACGTGTGTTGGAGTGAGAGTTTTAATAATGATAAAATCAGGAGGAGAAATAATCTCAACAAAGTTAAAAAATATTTCAAAAATTTAGCTCATTAGGCCTCAGCATTGGCCATTAGCTCTTAGATCCCCATTCATCTGAACCAGTCCCCACTTGCTTTTCTGTGCTATGTGTGTGTGTGTTGGGTGTGTGTGTGTGTGTGTGTGTGTGTGTGTGTGTGTGTGTATGTATGTGTGTGTGTATATGTGTGTGTATGTGTATTATACACACAAGCAAATGATGACTTGTTTGTGTGTGTATTATATATGTATATATTACATGTATCTATATATGATAATAAAATTAGTAAGAAAGCAGGACTCTTGAGAGACAAAAAAATACAAACCCAAACCATTTGTTTTTATCATTCTTGCCCCACAAGCTCCCTGACTCATTCCAGCTCAGACTATCTCCCAAATGTCATCATATTTCCCCTTAGTCTGACCTTCCCACCAGGCCTCAGAGGTGCTGTCATCCTCTGAGAGCCCCAGTGACTCTGGCAAGAAGAATCACCATCACACCAATTTGAAAAGCCTCAACAAAACAGAGACTTACCTTCATGTTAGGATCATAGGTGACTTGAGGAGACATCTGACTTATGACACCATTGTGTTTCACTGTAACATTGTAAAGTGCCCGTGTTCCAAAAATTTTAATCTCCTGAAATGCTAAATTATCAGGATTTGTGTAGCTTGATCCTACAGCACTCATATCCAAGTGGTTCTGAAATACATCAAGCATAATTATGCACAAATGAATGGGCTGAGGTTCTGTAGGTCCTCGAATGCCCCATCCTAGACCAGATGCCCCATCCTAGATCAGATGTCCATTCTAGACCAGATGCCCTGTCCTAGACAGATGCCTCATCCTAGACCAGATGCCCCATCCTAGACCAGATGCCCCATCCTAAATCAGATGCCCCATCCTAGACTAGATGCCCCATCCTAGACTAGATGATCTATCCTAGACCAGATGACCTATTATTCTAAATCAGATGCCCTATTATTATAGAACAGATGCTCCATCCTTGATCAGATCTTCAGCTGCTGTGAAAGCCTCTGAGCCTTCTCTACTAATGCATGTTTAGGTGGGGAAAAAATGAGAATATGCAAATAGACATTTTACATAACTGTATCAAGACACTAGCTCTATTGAAAAATATGATTTGCTTTGATTTATGAATATTATTGCTTCCTTTCAACAGCACAAATGATGAAATTACTGAGAATTAAGTCCTAAATGGGGATGTGCACACCCATAGTCATTACTGAAAATGTAGTCACATATATACACATGCAAATAGGTGCTAATGGTCAGATAAAAGTCCACACACTTCAGATTCTTACAAATGTTCTACTTACGTGAGTGACTGAAAATTGACATAGAACATTATTGGTTGTGAGATCTGAAAAAAAAGAGAGAGACGTCAGCCTGGCCTGATCTCTGAAGAAGGCCATATTTATTTCCTCTCCTCAAAGCTGACAGCTGATTTTGTAAATCAACAAAGTATGTCTTTTATGACAGATTAACATTTTACTAAATCTAGTAATGCTACCTCTTTATTCAAGTATCCATCAGTGCATATAGACTGTTTTCATATCTTCCCTAGTAACAATAATGCCACAATGAACATGGAGTGCAGATTCTCTTTGGCAAGCTCATTTCATGGACATACATATGTGTGTATTTAGAAGTGAGATGACTGTATCATAAAGTCACTTTATTTTCAACTTTTTGAAGGACTGTGGTTAGACCAATGTATATTTCTACCAAAGGATGTTAATAGTTCCCCTGGGTTCCTGCACCTTCACTAACACTTGTTACAGTTGATTATTTCATGCTAAAAGATATGGAGTGATACATCACTATCATGCTTTATTTAAACCTGAACTAGTGTTCAGCATTTTCTCATGTACCTGTTGGTTATACATGTCTAGGTGTGTCTATGTCTTCTCTGAAAAACACATCTATTGAAATAGTTTTCCTATTTTAAAATCACACTGTATATTCCCTTGCCATCAATTTTAAGAAGTTTTTTTTTATTTTCACATTGACTTTGTCAAATACATAATTTGCTCCATTTTCTCCTACTCTGTATGATGCCTTTGCAAACTATCATTTTTTTTTATTTTCCTAGATAGAAGACATCAAGGTTAAGTAGGGCCTATAATTGACTTTGTCTATAAAAATCAATGTCAAAGAATATTTTCCATATTGTTTCCCTAGATGACTTATGCTCAGTGCTTAACTTGAAGGCTAGCATACATTTTACAATAGTGAAGATGTGAACAGTACCTAGACATCCATAGGTAGATGATGGGAAAAGAAATGGTAGGACATGTATATCATGGAGTCCTCAGCAAGTGAGAACATAAAAACAATACAACATGTGACCTTGCATGAGCCTGAGACACATCATACTAAATGAAGGAAGCTAGACACAAAGAGAAGTATTTAGCCACCATGTTTATATGTGCATTTTAAAACAGCAGTTCATGGAACTGCAGTTGCCAAGAGGCAAGGGAGCGGAGAAGTTACTCAATGAGCAGCAACATTGAATTATAAGAGCATATTCTAGGGAGATAATGTATACCATGGCTGAGAATGAATGTCTTCATTGTTGATTATATTGATGGTAATGAGTAAACAATGACTATGTTGAACACCTTGAATATGTTCGAACATATTCAATTCATTATTTTAAATAAAATCAAGAATTTAAAACTGTCTTGGGAATGACAAAATGAACAAACTATACAAGTCCAAGCCATTGTTTTGCTTTCTTCTCACTACCACACCCCTGCAAAAATCTCCCCAGATGTTCTCAAAGAAGGTGTTCCATGGGAATCTATTTCCTGAGCTAGGGCCACAGCATCATTACTGCACAGCAACTGATGTGGACTAAAACACAGCTTGATGCATACACTAGGAATGTGTGTGCTCATCACCTTATACTGGCATGAGTATGATTTTCACATCACCAGCATTTGTCCCCCAGGGTTTGGGGGTAATATATATTTTAGAGCAGATGATTTAAAGCACCAGTCATGAAACTATGCCCCTTGAGTGTCTATTAATAAAAACAAGAGTCTATCCAACAGGAGAATTGAGAGGGGTTGGGGGCAACATGTTCTCCTTCCATCTGTAGTTCATCTGTCATGGTCTCTGACCAGTACATGCAGAAGCACATGTTTTCCCAGGGAGGATGCTCTAGGATACCTGGTGAGATTTCACCGACAGCTGAATGGCCAGGAGGGGTAAAGGGACAGAGTCAGACATGCAGGTCTTCAATGGCCACACAGTCTCACCACACTTACCCTTTGACTGCCCATCGTCCCAGAACAGCTCTCCTCTTGCTTCTTTGTTCTCATCCAGGGCAATGAGCAGACCAAGAGGGTTCTTCCGGCTGTGAAGAACAAGATTTACACAAGGCACAAATACTTAGGGCTCAAAGGATTTTAGAAAACATTTACCTCAGATTTCAACTGAGAAAGATACTAGTCAGTCATACATAACTCCTTTGCTTTATGGGCAGATAAAGAATATTGTGTCTTCCTCCAATAATAATTTTGCCAGATTAAGTATTTTAAACATCTATGAAGGGCACAAGCATTTAAATCTTGAAATTTCTGAACCGCTGCTGTCGTTACCACTAAAACTGCCACTCTTGTCACAATACGGGTTATTAGAGAGGAAGCTATCCTAGACAATGGTACTATGATCCAGGGCACTTTAGACATCCCACTCCAGGGAAAAAAATTTCAGTGATTTGAATTAATTTACAATCTGTGTGTGTCAATGATAAGAAATGTGGGATTAGACAAATGGAGGCAAACGTACTGGGGATATGCTGAGATCACACTGTGGTAAAGCACGTGCCTAGCTAGCGTGTTCCACACCCTGGTCCTCAGGCTAAGTGTAACAGAAGCATAAGCTCAAGTGCAGTGAAACAATTGGCTGTACTGGGAGAATAGCATCTTTGGGGCATTGAAAGCCAGATCTACTATTAACATATTGAAAAAGACAGAGGTGTCAAAGTCAACGTGGTATCACATTTCCATCTATAGACTATGGGCATCCTATTCTTGAAGGGGTTCAGACATCAAACTAGGGAACAAAAAAATTTTAATTTTTGAGACAGGAATTTGGTATCAGTATACAAAGTGACCTGAAACTGGAGTTATTTGACAGGGAGGGGAAGGGAGGAGGGAAAGGGGTGATTAGATTTAGTTATGTTTTCATAAAAGTCTATAAATTGAAGTATTAAGAAAACGAGGGAGGTTCAAAGGAAAAGACAGGTTTCAAGCCTCCCAAGAAATCTGTCTGTTGAAACTTACTAGGTCTAAATTTTGAAGCATATGGGAATACCGGCAAGTAACTCTTCTGAAGAGCTAGAATTGTAATTGTGCAAGCAAAGAGGAGAAAAAGCCAGGGGCTCAGGAAAAGCAGGAGAGACTTGAGTTTGTGTTGTTAAAATCCAATTATGAATTAAAAAGAAAAAAGAACCCTGCTCAATTATTAACAAGAAACAGGAAACTGGGTTTGTAGGAACATAATCAATGGAACCCAAATCTAGATCGGAGACCATGTGAGGCATGAGCTACATTGTCTCTAAGTACAGATAGGTCATCTATAGGCCAAGTCAGGTAGGGAGAGTACTGAGTGAGATTGCTCAGAACTGGGCTTTCTTGAGTCATGAGACTTACAATGTGAAAAGGTCTATAGCCCTGGGAAAGCCAGGGATGCAGACTACCCCAATTGTCAATTCATCCTCAAAACTAAGGTAAGGAGACCAGGAGGAAAGTCCTTCCAAGTCCAGCAGGGGCCAGTTCTCTGTCAAGAGAACCTAGAGACTAAGAACATAGTTGGTGACACCCCCTGCCCCACAAAAACAACCCACACATAGACACACACACACACACACACAATTCTCCCTCCATACTGTCCCTATTGGATCAGCATCTTGGGGTTAACAGAAGCCTGCTGGAGGAAGTAGACAAAATACGAGAGAGAGAGAGAGAGAGAGAGAGAGAGAGAGAGAGAGAGAGAGGCAGACAGACAGAGGCAGACAGACAGACAGAGAGACAGAGACAGAGAGAGAATTTAAGCTCAGTAAAATGGCTTTTGGCCTTAAGGCTGACACTGGAGAGATTGGGGACTCTCATGACGAAAGAACGAGCTCAGGGGTGTGCAAAGTAGAACCACACGTTCCCTATTCACCTTAAGTGAGTGTTCAGGCCAGGTTGTTGCCACGGCAGGATGTAGCCCCCACGGACATGAAGATTGATGTGCTCAAGAGGGGCTGGCAAGGTCTTCCACTCTCCTGTTGAATTGATATCTGCACCCTGGGGTCCAAAGGAGGAGAAAAGATGAGGGAATGCACACATTCCTCCCTGAGCAACACAGCCCACACACCTCCCTACACTTGCTTCTAGGTCATCACCATTCATCACAAACCTGCTTTCATACCTCGTGCATCCCCCCCGCTACTGTATGGAGTCTGCTTCTGCTTCTCTAAGTCTCCATGAGAGTCCCTGGCCTTAGCAGGATCTCATGTAAATCCCAAACACTCTCACCCTGCAACCGGGTGCTAAGGCGCAGAGTTCTTCGAGATAACACTGGACAGTATCTGCATTTATTTCTTGTTGACTACGCATGTGCTGTCCTCCTTCCCATCCCGCCAAGTTCCCAACCCTTTGATATCTGCTCCATTGCCAAGATCAGCCTGAGCAGACTATTTACACACCATTATCCTGAAAGGAGTATCCCTGTCTTACATTTAACACCTTTGCCAGGCCTCATGTGAAAGACACTCACTCATCTGAGTCATAACCTAAAGTCCTTTCACACTTTCTCAGCCACAGCAGGGCCTCATAATGCAGGCACTTATTTGCACTTTTTCTTTTATTGAAAATAGATTTTTTTCATACAATATATTCTGATTATGATTTCTCCTCTCTCTACTCCTCCCAGTTTCTCCCCATCTCCCCTCCTACCCAGATCTACCCCCTTTCTGTCTATCCATAGGAAAAAAGCCATCTAAGAGATAATAATATAAATAATAAGATAAAGCAAAAAAAAAATGGAATCTGACAAAACAAACGCACAGAAGGAAGAACCCAAGGAAAGGCACACACACACCAAAAAAAAAAAAAAACCAGCTACAGATGAAGTATCACACTCGTTCATACAATCAGGAATCCCATAAAAACACAAAAACCAGAAGCCACTGTATATACTCTAAATCTGTATTGTAATACATGTATACATACACACATACAAGTAAAAATGAAAAATTAAAATAAAAAAAACCTGATAGGACATTTTGAGACAAGGAACCCCCAAAGATGCTGCTGAGTTTTTTTCTGTGGGCTGTCTACTGCAGGGCATGTAACCTACTCTTAAAAGTAATTTGTTTTTCTAGTGGGTCCCCCTTCAAGAAAACTCATTTTTCCTTTGAAAATTGTCAATTGAAGATAACTTCTGAGTTAGGAATGGGGGCTTGTGTCCACTGCTTCTTTCAGCTCTAATGTATGTCGGTCAATGCAGGCACTATTAACAATGAGGTTAGAAAGTTCTTTTTTTGTGATGTTATCCTATAGTGTGTGTGTGCGTGTGTGTGTCTGTGAGTCTATGTGTGAGTATGTGCGTGTTGTATGTATGTGTTCATATGTGTGCACATGTATACATGGCTGTATATCAGTGGTTCTCAACCTTAGTATTGCTGCAACCCTTTGATACAGTTCCTCATGTTGTGGTGAACCCCAAACATAAAATTATTTTGTCACGACTTCATTACTGTAATTTTGCCACTTGTGAACTGTAATATAAATATCTGATATGCAACTCCTGTGAAAGGGTCATTTGGCCCCAAAAGAATCATGATCCACAGGTTGGGAATCACTGCTGTATACTAATGTGTACATGTGTGTGGCTGTGTGTTTCAGTGTATGTGTCTCTGTGTGTGTTTGTATGTATATATGTGTTCATATGTGTGCATGGTTGTGTGTGTGAATGCACAGGCATATAGGCATACACACACACACACACACACACACACACACACACACACACACACACACAGAGGCCAGATTGCTATCATCATCCTTCTCTCCACCTTGTTTATTTATTTATTTTTTGTTTTCTGTGGGCCGTCTACTTTGTTTATTGATTGATTGATTGATTGATTGATTGATTGATTGATTGATTGATTGATTTGAGACAAGGTCTCTCACTGAATCTGGAGTTGCTGATTGGCTAAACTGGCTGAATCCTTTTTCTCTATCTCTCCAGCACTAGGTTCACAATGTATTTGATAAGTGTACTAACTTACCGCTTTCTATTGCTATAAAAAGTTCATGTATCTGCTTCCACGGTGCAGCATGTCATTTGAAACAACTTGAACCCCTGACCCCAGGCAACAGTCACTCATAAGTGGCCCTGAATAAATGACTTCACATTCTTTTTGGAGTAAGATCTGTAGTTTTCATCGACAGCACTGGCTCTCACCTGTCTTAGCTAATCACATGGAACAATTCTTTAGCATCTGTGCAAAAAGGGCAGCCACTTAGAAATACAGAGGAGAAAGGGTCTCTGTGAAGGCACACTCACATAAACAGAAATGAGATTGAACATTACTCTCTTAAGTACTTTCTGGTATCAGAAAAAGAGCTCATTAATGTCTTCACCATATGGCTAATGGTGACATAAGGAGAGATATGCTCACAGCCCAATAGGCACCAGTTTGCAGGATTTCATGTCGCTTCCCAGCAATTCTCTAAAAGAGTAGCTGTGGTTTGTCTGATCCTAACAGGAACTGAGAAGACAGCTAGACCAGAGCAGGTGATTTCCATTGTCAGGATCTGGTCTGTTTTCTACTGAGTCTAACATACTCGGAGACTTTGAACTCTAACACTGGTTGTATGAACATTTAGTGAACTTACCGTATAGTAGTCATACCAGAGGGCTGTGGGGAAATAAGCACTGACATTTCGAGCATCCTGAAATTAAACACAGACTGGGCGTGAGTATTGCATTCTAAGACAGAGTCAGCAACCCACAATGTACCCTTGCATAAAAGAACAGAGCTAGAATTGGACAACTGTGCCTCAACTTCCTAAAGATCACCAACACTGAGAAGCCCCGTTTTCTTCCCAGGTTTCCAAGGGTGGAAACTGCCTAACAAACACCAGCACCTTCACTAAGGCCCTTTGGGGAGTAAGTGTGGTGATACTTTATTTGTGCTGAAATGTGATATTTTATTTGTATGTTAATAAATAAAGTTGCCTGGAGATCAGAGGTAAAATAGACATAAACAGAAGTCAGGTGGTGGTAGCACATGCCCTTTATCCGATCACATGACAGGCAGAGTCTCTGTGTGGTCAAGGACACAGCCAAGTGTGGTGGCATGAGCCTTTAATCTCAGTACCAACCACAGAGACCCGGAGGTCTGTATAGACAGGCAGTGACGAGAAAGTCATGTGGCTGGGCTTAGAACCAATGGGAAGGCAGAATAGGAAGGCAATAAAAACACAGGTTACACAGGAAGAAGCTCTCTCTGTAGAAGTTACTGCTGGAAGTAAGCTAAAGCTAGTCATGGCTATTGCTCTGATCTCTTTGGCTATTACCTCTATAATAATAGCTCTGTGTTTCTTATTTAATAAGACTGTTTAGAAATTCATCTACAAATAAGACTTCAAAGACAATGACAACCTCGTGCTTGAAGCCTTACTCATACCTCTCTAAAGACACATGCCCAAGGTTAGGAATAGAGCAGAAAAAAACATGTCTGCAGGTTAAAAGTATCTGAAGGTGATTTAAATAGCTTCTCTGTGTAGTTAAATACCCATCTGGGTACAGAAGAAATGACGAAATGTCTCTTGCTGCATGTGTAACCACTTATAGAAGGAAGCAAAGAGCTAGCTACCAGCAGGCACAAGGTGACAAGTATTGCTGCAAGCAGTTCTGAACGTATCAGTTAAAAATGATGGAGGCTATAAAGAATCTTCACACTACCTCCCACACCTGTACCTACACATTTCATTTTAATCAGTGGGAAAACAATACGTTCAATAAACGATGAAGCCGTTTTCACTTTTACTATTCCATGAGCTGGAATTATTGGGCTCATGTAAAGAAGGATTGGAGGGCAGGAAACCCAAGATGCAGAATCCTACACTGAAGGACCATGAGAGACCAATGTAGAATAAGAAACACAGTCTCCAGATCTGTGTCACACCAGACTTCCTTCTCCAAGTTCTCTCAGTCTAGCCATTGAGATCCTCCATTTCTCAGAGGTCTCTCTACTCACAGGCTCCAGCACAGGGCTGACCAGGAAAGCTGGACCCAGGAGGAACTGTTTGTCTATATTCCAGGTCTCACGGTCTGCCACAAACCTGAAAAGGGAATTGAAGGTGTCACAATCAGACCTGAAGAGGATTTTTGGCTTAACACCCTCAGAAATGCTTGAGTTAAGACCTATATCAGAGATCCTATGTGTCCTCTGCCTCCAGTACTCTCTGCACAGGAAAACAAAGATTAAACTCCCCACATCATCTTATGTACCATGCCTTCAAAACTAAATGTGCTTATGGACAAACCATTTCTTTATCCTCCCACATTTAAATGCAAAGATGTTTTTTGCTCTTAAATCTTTACTGGACTGCTCATGGAGTGACCTGGAGCAAATGATGGCCTAAAATTACATAACAAAATAAAAATAAAGTAAGGTCACATGAAGAAAATAATACTATGGAATGTTGACTCTTGTTTATTTTTTTTTTATTCAATAGGTGGTCTTTCATACACTACTTGTATCAAGCAGAGTACAGAAGGACTCATAAAGTATGGTGCCTACCAGGATAACCTTGGCAAAAGAGTGTCAAACACCAGAGTGGAAAAATTGTTTCATCAGTTCCCTACTTACAGGTTAAAGGCATTCCCCATCATTCAACAGCATCCCAGCTGAACACTCACTCATGGAGAAGAGGCCGCACAACTGTGCTGCCCTCCGTGTGGGCCTTGTACATCAAGGTGTAGAGATACGGCAACAGGGTGTATCTGGTCTCTAGCACACTTCTGGAAATATTCTCAAAGGTTTCATCCCAGGACACAGGGTCTTGCCTCTAAAGCAACAGAAGAAAAGTGTTCAAAGTCCTCCAGAGACAATTAAGAAGTTAAAAAGGTCACTAAAGGCCCATTTGAAATAACATCGAAATCTAACAAACCATAAAGTTTAGAAATGAATAGGACTCCTAGAATATTCTTAATTCACTGGTAAAGATGACTAAAATTCTACCAGAAAAGAACATTTGTAAGACATTCTTCATGAGATATACTATAAAACAGTCTAGGCAAAAAGTCATCAAAGTAATATTGAAAAATATGGTTTACATGAAGAGGATTAATGACTTTGATGATGTTCCAAGGAAAACAGGCAGCAGGATTGAACTCAGAAACTGAGGAAGCATTCCAAGTGACATAATATAGGTGAGGAAGCTGATATCCTACCCTGGTCCCAATGGTGTTGTGGTTCCTGGAGAAGGGGTAAAATGCACCCAGCTGCATCCAGCGCACACACATCTCATACTCAGCATCTTGAAAGAACCCACAGATGTCTGACCCGGTCTGAAACAACAAGGAACAAAGTGAGCTCT